ATCTGAATATGCTAGCATCATTGGCAGTCTCCGTTATGCGGCGAATTACACTCCATTAGACATTGCAAATGTCGTGGGATTGCTTGGTATGTTTGATAGTTATCCTAGTAGAAGAGATCATTGGAATGCTATATATAGGGTCATGAGATACCTCAAAAGAATAGTGAACCTTGGAATACAATATCAAAGATTTCCTGCTGTACTAAAAGGGTATAGTGATGCAGACTTGTATACCCTATCAGACGACTATAAGGAAACCAGTGGTTATGTTTTTAACATTGCTGGAGGAGTTGTGTCTCAGAAGTCTAAGAAATAACCACTAGCAAAACATAGTGAAGAAGCGAGTTGTTTGAGAGGATTATAGACAGAGGTTCCCCTATGTGGAAGACCGGTCCCTCCAGTATTGATCCATTATGATAGCACCGCAGCTATTGCTAAAGTTGAGAATCGATTTTATAACAGAAAGAGACGATTACACCCCGATCTTTCTAAGGTCAAAATGACTATTTTACCCTTGGATAAATTCAACAAGTTTCACCGTAATATCGAGGAGGATTAAAAAGGTGAACTATCGGTTCCAACGGTGTGGAACTTCGATGTAAAACGAAAAAGTTATGAACGTAACTGGGTATCACATTAAAAATCCAATCAACCGATTGGGCCGGCAGGAGTTTGCAATAAAGGATGGCTGGGCCGCTAATGGCCCGAGCGAGAGCCAAGTCAGGCTCAAGCCCAACCCCTAGGTAATTAAAAAAATGGTGAGAGGGCCTGCTGGCAGCCCGGTGCGAAAGGGAAGAACGGGCTTGGGGCCCGAGAGAAAAAGGAAGGGTCTCACGTCTCTGGCTGAGGATTCGATCGGAGAAACAGAGCAGAGGGACATTCGGCGATGTTCAACGCAGAAACGGCCATGGGAATTGAGTAACGGAACGAAATTCAGATTTAATTGCGTACAATTAAGTGAGGGTCGGTGAGAATAAACCTATCCTCAGCAAACATCGTGGGGATGGGGATTTAAGGCAATAATGGAAGGACAGGAAAAAGAAGATTTCCCCTGTTTTCAATCGATGAACGAAGTGGCAGGTGGATGAACGAGGCGAAAGAACCTCTTCACTCTGAGAGGTGCCTGCTTATTTTTATTGCTAAACTGGACCATCATCGGGATGCCACTTTCCGCAAGCAAGCTGGAGTCGCGTGGGTGGGGGGTGTTCGACGAGCAGTCCCCTTCCTACCATGAGAGGTGCTTGCTTGACGTGTCATCTAGAATGGTCAATCGAGTCGCACGGGCGGCGGTTCGAATTGTGACTGGGTGACTGCAACATGGGAGGATCATCGTTGACGAACTTTGTGACGGGATCTGAAGAGTCGTGTGGCCGGAAATTAACGCCGACGAATTATGACTTGGTCGACGGCGGGAGATCCAACTCGTGGATAAGTTCTCCTTTTTAAAAAGTAATTCACCTTTAAGAAGGTGAGATCTTTTTAAGTGCTTTTAGTCACTAGCGGAAGTCTGTTGCCATTTGAGATTTTCAGACAGAGCAACAGTTATGCTCTTGAGATATTTAAGTTGAGCAGCAGTGATGCTTTTGAGATTTTTAAGATGAGCAGCAGTTATGCTCTTGAGAATCGTGGAAGAAGAGACTTCCACGATAAGTTTAAGTTTAAGGAAAGCCTGGATGGCTTCTCATACGTATGAGTTGGGCAACCGGACTAGCTAGTGAGGGATCCCCGTGTTAGTCAAGTATTTAAGTAAAGATTTGAGCTTTAAGAGAGGAGAGTAACTTCAACTACCTCAAAGTTTAAGAGTTAAGATTTTAAGATTGGAAGTACAAACAACTTCCACTAATTAAAGTTAAGTGTTTAAGTAAAGTTCTCAAGTACAAAATACCAGTGCTGTCAAAGCCGAGCCGAGCCGGCCGGTCGAGCCGCCAAAACCGCCAACCGGGCACAAAACCGGCTCGGATAAGCTATTTAGGCGGACTGGTTCTCTGGGGCGGCCGGCGAGCGGCCGAAGCGGTTAACCGCTCGAGCCGCTCGAGCCGGTCGTCCGGTTTTTTACATTCGGCCGGTTGGTTTAATTAAAAAAAAATTAAGAACAAAAGGACCGAAAATTAAAGGGGAAGGTGGGTCGGGGTCGGGCTGTCACAGCAGAACCCTAATTTTTAATCTTCTTCTTCGTGGAGACAAGGAAGCGCCGCTTCCGACTCCAAATCCTTCCTCCTCGTCGCCGTTCCCCGTCTCCATCGCCGCCGTTCCTCCTCGTCGCCGTTCCCGTCTCCATCGTCGTCTTCCCTGTCGCCGTCTCCATAGCCATCTTCCCCAGCGCCGTTCCTCCTCGTCGCCGTTCCCCGTCTCCATCGTCGTCTTCCCCGTCGCCTGTGACCCGTTGCCGTCGCCATCGCCGTCTTCCCCAGCGCCATCGCCATTTCCCAATCACGCGGCTGAAGATATTGGCTGTGTCCTTCCAAAGGAGGTCCGCAGCTGTTGTAGAAGCAGAGGAGCTTTGGGAAGCTTGGGAAGGCAAAACTGGTACAAGCTCGTGAGACTCTGAATTCTGAAATAAATTACCTTTGAGAATTTTCCATTCAAAACTAATCTTGTAGGCAGGAAGTTTTCAGGTACTGATTCATTACTATGATTAAGAAGTGTCTACTATTAGAGATGACTGTTTATTAGGTACCGGTTCTCAAACGGTTTTTAAACGGTCTAATGCCGGCTGGACCACTAATGATCGAGCCGTTCACGTTACCGGGTCATACTCCGGCTCGGCTTTGACAGCATTGCAAAATACTATAGATTTCAAACGTAAGGGCGTAGACTGACCCCAACTCACTCACTAGTTTGAAGAGGACTAAGAGGAGTTAGAGAGAAGCGAGTTCGAGAGGAGCAGTTTGAGGGAAGCCAGCTAGAGTAGGAAAGTACAAGCGCCACGGAGGATGTCTAGTCAGGGCTTTCAGTAAGCAGTAGCATTAGAGACTTTTTAGTTGTTTCAGTTTATGATTATGAGTATAGGCTGTAGATCATTTTAAGATTTTAAGGTTTGAGTTTGCCCAAGTGTCAGGCTTTGTGTTTAAGTAATGACAGCTGTTTTCGGTATTTATTAAAGTTATTTATGAAATGTTTCCGCTATTTTTGTAAGTACTTTCATTTCTTATTTTTTTCATGGTTTATTAAGGGTATTTTGGTAAAACTAGTACCCGGCCGGGTTAGGGTGTTTCAGAAACGAATGACACGCAAAAAAACACAACACCAAACTACGACCAAGTGTAATCGCAGAATGGAAATGCAGAATAGTGGGTAAGTTTAATTTATCAACTCGGGGTCTAGTTCTACTGCATACTCCGTGAACATCTATTATCTAGGGGGACTGAGTTTAGTGGGATTGAGTTTGACTAAAGCAGAAAGAAAGCAGTAAATTGTTCAGTTTTCTGAAGCAAGACAGGAGCCACTTGGGAATGAGTCCCCCTAGATCCATAATTAGGTCCAAGTTGTAATTTCCTTTGGTTGATTTAGTGTTGATTAAACTGCGGAAGATCCGATAGTAGCTTGGAATCTCTTAAGCTGACCAAGCTCTCTCAGACAGACTACCCGGCAGACGACTAGTCTTCACCGGATAGAACGCTAAGGCAATTAACAATTATTGACTAAAATTTATCTCTGAGCATTTGCTATACTATTGGTAGCATGTGGTGCTAACACATGTTGTCGAGAGCCTAAGATAGACCTCGTCCAACTTGCTAATGTTGCGTGGCGAGAAAACGAGTAGAATAATATATATAAATATATATATATTCATTTAGGTTTTGACTTCTCACAATATCAACGTAACTATAAAAAATTAAAAATACCCACCAACAAAAACCAGTGGCGGTCAACCCAAAACGAAACGGGAATGGATCAGGTCAGTAACCTTATGGTGAGTAACCATGAGTAACCCGTCCACATCAGCATGACATCAGCATCCTCTCTCTCATGGAAAGCCTTTAATTTTTCCCTCTTTAATCTTTGACGGACGATTTCTCGCTCATTTTAAGTCGAAATTTAATTTTTTTTGCACAATTAGATCAGATTAATTGTGCTCTTCAAAATGATATCCACTTTAATATATTTTTCGAACAAAAAAAATTGAGCCATTTTTTACCAGCCTATACCATATGGTATTGGCTGGTATTGAAATAAAAGCATACCTATGTTTTAAAAAACGTACGATGGTGGTATGAACAAACCAATACTGTAGGATGGTTGTAATTTACGACTTTTAACATTGTATACCACACAATACCGCCCCGTACCAGGGTGGTATTGTGTGGTATTTTTTGGTCCTGTAATTTGTTCACCCAGAAATTTGTAGATCCAATAGATCATGATGAACTCGTCCCTTCTGTGCAAACGTTTTCAAAAACGAATTAAAAACGAAGAAGATACCATACAATACCACCCCGTACCAGGGTGGTATTGTATGGTATTGTGTGGTATTTTTTGGTCCTGTAATTTGTTCACCCAGAAATTTGTAGATCCAGTAGATCATGATGAACTCGTCCCTGCTGTGCAAACGTTTTCAAAAACGAATTAAAAACGAAGAAGATACCATATGGTATGCAGTTGGTACCGAGAGGCCATAATTTTTTTTTCCTAAAAAAATATTGAAAATTGATCTCATTTTGTAGAGCACGGTGAACTCGTTCCATCTGTGCAAAAAAAAATTAAAATCCGAGCTAAAACGAAAAAGATATGAGTGAATTAAGAAAGCTAGTGAAAATAAAAATAACCTTTAATTCTCCATCTTTAGATCTGGATTATCTAAATGAAGGGTCCAGATTTGGTTATTGATGGGTGCATAACCCATGGTTATGCACCCTATCTTGAGCCAAACGAAACCCCCACGGCCCGACAGCCGCAACAATGCATTAGTTTAATTATCATTAAATAGCTAGGCCTATAAAATCAAAGCCAACATCGCAACTGGAAAGTACTCAATCATCATCATTAGCAATTTAGCATTAACCGAAATCCCAACCAAAAACACCTCCAAGGCCTAGCTAGCAACGCAATCTCCGACCAAAAAGACGATAAAGATTACCAAAAGTATCACCCCGCCACGCATCACCATTATGGCTAATCACTTCCTTGTCTCCATTATCCAGCTCCTAATTTTCTCATCAGCCAACTTCATAATTATTATCCCCACAGCAACTTCAGCCAAATCGGAGAAGCTAACGCACCTCCACTTCTACTACCACAACAACATCGCCGGCCCACGTGCCACCGCCGTCCCAATCAACCCCAAAATCCAACCCGTCGATATTCAAGACCCGGCCAGCCTGTTCGGCCGGCTGACCATAGCCGACGACCCGCTGACGTCCGGCCCAAGCCTGGAGAACTCGACGGTGGTGGGAAGCGCGCAAGGTATGTACGGCAGCGCATCGCAGATGGAGATGGCGTTTGCTATGGTGTTCAACTTCGCGCTGACTCAGGGGAAGTACAAAGGGAGCAGCTTCTGTTTGCTGGGTAGGAACCCAATTTTCACAAACCCTAGGGAGCTAGCCATCGTTGGTGGCACCGGCGCTTTCCGTTTCTCTCGCGGATACGCTATGCTCAAGACCTACTACATTGATATGCAAACCGGTGCCAATACCATCGTCGAGTACGACGTTTATATCCGCCACTATTAGCTAGCTAGCTAGACTGCTGGTAAAAGATTCGTACATAGTTATTTTATTTTATTTATTAATTTACCTACATACAAATTCTAAAATTTGACCCTCTGTTCCTTTTTACTTTCATTCTTTTATTTGTTTTCTTTAATTTGTATTTGACCATCTTGTATTAATTTCTTTCTATACTTGAGAGATATATATCATGTATGTAACAGCTCATGCACATCGATGTACGGTTGTCTATATATATCATGGATATCCCTTGATCGGTTGTCTATATATATAGTAGTGTTTAGTTGTCTATATATATAGTATTATTCAGCATATCTCTTACTATCATCGCTATATAGCAATATTTATAGTCAGAACGAATTTAGTCAGATGGTTCTTGTTGGGGGAAAGGGCCTTGATACGTAGGTGAAGCCCAGTAAGAGGGATGGGGCCTAAGTAGCCCAAGAAGGCGTAACGTACTAGAGGCCCTGAGGTGTGTTTAGGAAAACGGTGTAGGCTATGGCCGACGTCCATCGGTTTAAGCCAGGAAAGCAAGTCGACCCGAGCACATAATGAGGTGGGGGCGTGGGTAAATGCATGTTAGGCGCCTGGTGGGCGCCTGGAGGTTGTGAGCGCCCAAAGAGGGCGCCTGGAATCACTTGCATTAAATGCGGTGGTGACGTGGAAATCCGTACGAAGAGATCCATGTAAGCGATGAACAGTTATAAATAGCGAGGTTGGTAAGCATTTACTCAATTTGGCTTCTCTCACTAAAATCTTGCATAACAAGCACTTCTCTCACTAAGAAAAGTACTGACTTGAGCGTTGGAGGACTAACGGGCCACAAGGCCCACCTCTGTGTGTGCAGGTGGATCCACGTAGGTGAGGGGCACGGTACGGAAGGAGAGGGGGAGGATTGAGCGGGCTTCAACAATTGGCGCGCCAGGACGATGGAGGCTGAGGGGGAGTCCAGTTCACTCAGGCGCCTAGCTAGCCTGAGACGCCAGGCCAACTACGGAGACTCCGAGGGGGAGAGAAATGTGTGGATACCGGGGCGCCCACCTCGCTAGTTCGTGGTGAGGCAGCAATTGGCCAAGAGCGTGCTCATGGAGCCCGCTAGTACCAACATTCCACCACTTCCCACATATGACGGTACGGCGGACCCGGATGATCACCTGAACAGCTACTTCACCAAAATGCAGCTGTATAACAGTTCGGAAGCGACCTTGTGCAAAGTATTCCCATCAACCTTCTCAGGCGTGGTCCTAGACTGGTACCATCAAATCGAAGAGGGCGCATAGAATGCTTTGAGCAATTTGAGGCACTGTTTTTTGCAAAATTTGCAAGTAGAAAGAGGCGCACACTGACCGTAGGCTCCCTGTTCAAGATTAAGCAAAAGGAGGGGGAGACTTTGAGGGAGTTCTACGAGTGGTGGATCCCGGTGGCAATGGTCGTGAGAGACGTGCAGCCCCCTGTACTTGGGGTCCTCCTCGAGGAGTGCACCACGAGTGAAGAGCTTTGTCGGGCGCTAGCTAAAAGGGACATTGTGTCTACGGAAGATTTGGATCGTAGGGTGCAGAAAGTTATAGTATTGGAGGAGACGTTAGCAGCAAGACGGGCCGATAGGCGCCGCCCAAAGGGTGAAGAAGGAGATGGGGCACGAAGGAAGGCGCCCGAGTCCAGGCCTGTCTATGGAGGTAAATTATTCGGGTCGGCATGGAGGAATGATCAGGGGCGCCCGGCGCCTAGGGCGAACCAATTCACAGAGCTCAACGACTCGCCGAAGAACATATTGCAATATGTGAAGGATAAGGGGTACCATGTGAGATGGCCGGGGCCTATGAGGGGGCAACCCAATCCGCGGAATTTGGATCGATTTTGCGACTTCCATCGGGAGAGAGGGCATAATACAGTTGATTGTTACCAGCTGAAGACGGAGTTGCAAGGGTTGGTGGACAGGGGCATGCTCAATGAGTTCGTCAAAAAACCGGAAGAGAGGGTGCACAGAGCGTACGTAGCCCGGGTGGAACCTAGGGAGGATCTGCCGCCACCTGCATTTGAGCTTGATCAAGAAAAAGCGCCCGAGAAGGTGAGGCATACGGTGGACGCGATCACGGGCACCATGGACCTGAGGGATAAGTTAGAAGCTAGCAGGCGCCTAAGAGTGGCGTCGGTCGACAGACAAGTGGGGGTGTGCATTAGCTTCAATCAGGTGCCTAACGAAGCCTATGGGATACCCTCCTTAGAGGCGCTGGAAATTCAAGGGATAGTAGCTGGATGCACGGTGAAGAGGATGCTTGTAGATACAGGGAGCTCCATGGATGTGTTGTTCAAGGATACGGTAGCACGCATGCATTTGTCTCCTGACTTGATACGACCATCGGATTCAATGCTAGTGGGGTTCTCGGGGGCGCCGGCAAAAGTCATCGGGCGCGTGCGCCTCCCAGTCACTCTGGGCAATGAAGAGCAGCGGGTCACGCACTCTATTGATTTCGGGATTGTGGATTGCCCGTCTCCCTACAACGCGATACTCGGCAGGCCCCTTTTGGCCTTGTTCAATGGGGTAGCGTCTACTTGCCATCAGACGTTGAAGTTCATAGCGCCGAAGGGAGTAGGCGTTGCTCGAGGAAGAGGCGCCCCGATTTATACTAAGCTGAAAAGCGTGCGCCCACGAAAAAATCAAAGGGTGAATGTGGTTACCACCGAGGAGGCGCCCAGGGCGGAGGCGGCCGATGAGGAGTTGATGATCCCGCTGGATGAGGGCCGACCGGAAAGGTAGATAAGGATTTCGGTCTAGGCGCCTCCCGAAATGATAGACAAGTTAGTTGCCCTGTTGAGGGAGTTCGCGGAGCTGTTCGCTTGGAGTGCTAAGGAAATGTCGGGAGTGGCGCCTAAGACGGCTGTACATAAGTTGGCGGTGGAGGAGGGAAGGAAGCCTGTTCAGCAAAAGAGGAGGAATCTATCTCAAGAGAAGGAGGCTATGCTCAGGGTGGAGGTGGATAAGCTCCTTGACGCTGGGTTCGTGGAGGAAGCAGCGTATGTGACCTGGCTATCCAATGTGGTGTTCGTCCCCAAGCCGGCGGGAGACTGGAGAATGTGCGTGGATTTCACAAGTCTCAACAGGGCGTGTCCGACAGCCGCGTACCCGATGCCCCGCATTGATCTATTAGTAGACGCCACGGCTTATCACGAGATGCTTAGCTTCCTCGACATGTTTTCAGGGTACCATCAGATCCCCATGGCCGAAGAAGATCGATTGAAGACGGCATTCATGACGCCCTTTGGAAACTTTTGTTATAGGGTCATGGCATTTGGACTAAAGAACGCGGGCGCCACGTATCAACGTATGGTGAATACGGTCTTCCAACGACAAATCGGGCGGAATGTGGAGGCATATGTGGATGACTTGATTGTCAAGAGCCGTAGGCGGGAGGATTACCTGTGTGATTTAAGAGAGACCTTCGAAACCATGCGCCTTTACAATCTTCGGCTCAACCCCCTCAAATGCGTCTTCGGCGCGGAAGCAGGCAAATTCCTGGGCTTCATGATCACCAAGAGAGGGATTGAAGCCAATCCAAAGCAGGTAGAAGCCATCATCAGGCTTGCACCGTCGAAAACGCCTAAGGAAGTGCAAGGCTTAGCGGGGAGACTCGCGGCTCCAGGGCGCTTCATCCCAAGGTCGGCCGACAAGGCAGCCCCCTTCTTCAGGGTGCTCAAGAAGGCAGTCCGCTTCGAATGGGATGATGCGTGTAGTGAAGCATTTGAAGAGCTGAAGCGGCTTTTAGCGGCGCCCACGGTAATGACGGCACCCAAGGCTGGTGAGGTTCTGTACTTATACATTGCGGTCTCGGAAGCGGCGGTTAATGCGGTGCTAGTATCAAAAGATACGCCTTCGGGAGAAGAGAGGCCAGTGTACTATGTGAGCAAGACAATGGGCCCACATGAAAAACGGTATGCACCTATCAAAAATGCTACTTTGGCGGTCGTAACCGCCGCCACCAAGTTACGCCCGTATTTCCAGGCGCATGCCGTTGTTGTGCTCACTAACTTACCTCTCAAGTCTACCTTAGGCTCCATGGATGTGGCTGGGCGCCTTGTTAAATGGGCCGTGCAGCTAAGCGAGTTTGACATTAGGTACGCGCCTCGAACTGCCATCAAAGCTCAGGTGCTTGCCGATTTTGTGGCGGAGGGAATAGTGGAGGTTGAAGGGGCCGATGAGGAGACATGGCAAGTACAAGTGGACGGGGCGGCGAGCCGAATTGGCGCCGGGGCAGGAATAGTGATTATCAGCCCCAACGGGGTCATGCATGAGATTGCTCTGCGGTTTTCGGAGCTTAAGACCAACAATGTCGCCGAGTATGCAGCGGTCGTCGCGGGGCTCCGCATGGCGCGGGAGTTGGGCGCCCAACATATTAGTGTCAAGTCCGATTCAGCCCTCGTGGTCAACCAGCTCAATGGAGCGTTCGATGTGAAAGAGGAGGCCCTGGAAGCCTATGTCCAGGCAGTCAAAAGAGAATGCGCCTGGCCTGGTTCAGAGAAGTGGAGTTTGTGCACGTCCCAAGGGAAGAGAACGCCCATGCAGATGCGCTGTCAAAGTTGGCCACGACCTTGGACTTCGCTGAGGACAGAAGGGTCATTGTCACAAAGGAGGTTCCACAAGAATACGTAGTAGCAACCATGGGGGATCCTGTGGAAATCGATGGTTGGATGGCGCCCATTTT